ATTAATTTGTTATATTCAAATATAAATCTAGAAATATAATATAATATAATGCATATAATATGATAAATAATATAATTTTTATATAATATAATCTATAATAATATAATAAATATAATATATAATAATATATAATAATATAATAATATACAATGACATATTAATATAATATAATATAATATAATATAATATAATATAATATAATATAATATAATATAATATAATATAATATAATATAATATAATATAATATCCTTAAAATGTGAACTAATGATCTGGGTGTATAAATCCTAATAATAATTTGAATAATAACATCATATATATTTGCTAAAATATCAAAGTGCAAAAGGATATGGATTTGGTAATCATACAGAATCATAATAAATCTTCAAATACTGCAGTTATATGTATTGTAAATAAGAAGTCACTTCGCTAGCACAACTTTAACTGCATGGTGTAAATAATGCATTCAGACTGTACACAAAAACATCACTCTACAGTATATACAAAAATTCTTAAGAATAACTATAAATCACACAATATAATGCTAAATATTAAAGTGCAATCGTGGATGAATATAGCAAAAATACTACATATAAATATAAAACATACTATTGTGTACTCTACAATAAACTCTTAAATAGGAGTCTTATTAGAGTGAATAAATGCAATCACAGTAATGCCGGTTTATTAATCATATTTAAACAATTATTCATATTATGAGTTAGTTACCTGACAAATCATTTTAGCATACTGTATCACCGTGGCAGTTCAGCATAAGAGCATATGCACGCATTAAAATAAATTATAAGCGATCAGTTTTAGGATCAATATCATCATAATTCTGTGGTATATGAATATAATAATCATACAGATTTGTGGTGAATCTCAAAGTACTGTGATTTTATCATCACTACATGTTTTTTAATGTGTTAAAAGAAGAACATATGAATGTGTTCTGAATAAATAAGTTGTTTCTAATAAATATTAATAATAGGCCATTAATAGTGGCATAAATTGAAGTGAATTTGTGTATTCAGACTAATTCAGTTTTATTAGAAATCAATTTATTTATTTATTTATTTATTTATTTATATTTATATATATATATATATATATATATATATATATATATATATATATATATATATATATATATATATATATATATATATATATATATATATATATATATATATATATATATATATATAGATATATATAT